ACCAGGCTGTATTGCAGAACAATTCCCCCCTGTTGCAAGACAAGGCATACTGAACTTCAGAAACGCAAGCAAATAGACAAAGCAAGGAGAAGAACATTAAGCAAGAGCAGGCTGACAAGCATCAGCTTTGACTATGAAGAAACAACTGGCTGTTCAAATCCCCAGCATAAGGAAACCCATCAGAGGATTTTGTTACCAATTGTAGCAGTTTTCTTTGCATTAGTTGATTAAATCTAGCTTTATCTCCTTTACCTTTTTGTTAATCAAGCCACACACACCTTGAGATTTGAACAAACAGCATTTCTGAAACTTCTGCCTTTCTAACATAAGGATTAATGGCCATTCACAGAGCAAATCTCTTCCTCTCTATGTGCAGAAATGAAACTGGAGAGTGCTATGTCCTTCCAGACCCCAAGCCCTTCCAAGACCCATGATGTCTCACCCAGCCTCTGCAAAGACATGATAATTTAGATTTCGTGGTGTGTACAGAGCTTGTCCAGATGTTTAGGAATGATGCAGAAAGCAATGCTGCAAAGGGTCAGATAACAGCACAGTGGCTTCACATAAAACCAGCTGTCCATGATGCTAACATGACATCACTCTGTGGCCTCTGAGAGCACGTACAGCTATGTCTTAAGGTACTAGCTTCAGTGCAGAGCAACCTAAGAAGCTGAAAGAAACAAGCTGACTTATGAGCTCTAAGGGATTCTAGAAACAGGTACCAAGACAGATCACACATGTCAGGAAAATGTTTTTCCTGCCCATGGCTGCATGGCTTCATGCGATGTACCATGAGACCCAGCAGGAAAGGAAGGGGAACCATTCATAGCTGGTAAATGGGAGCCCTCCCGTGATATGCACTGCAGTGAGGCACAGGGATTCCTGTGAAACCTCCATACTTCAAGCTGTGCAGTAATGCTGGCTGAAAATGCCTGGCATCTGAGGAGATATGCTACAGCATTTCAGTGCCTTTGGCTGGAGTTGCTCACAGACCCCTGCTCTGCACTGCTTCAGTTGTGAAACTCTTTTTCCACAGCAAACCAAAGCCAAATTGCCTAACACACACAAGGCTCTTCACCAGTTTTATGAAGTGCATTACATACTTGTTTGCATAGGACTCAATGTACTCAATACCCCACATCAAGAGCTGAGTTTATGGTCTGCAATACTCAGTCATCCGATTCTCATCCATTTCTAATGTGGACTGTGAGCAAAGAACCTCCTGGAGCATGGACAGTTTGTAGAGACAGAACAGAAGACACAAGTCTGACCAGCTAATGCTACTTTCTGAAAAGCCTTTGACCTGTATCATATATTCTTATTCATACTTTTCAGAAGCCTGTCTCCTCAACACATAGCCTCACGTACAAGAAGACAGATGAGACTTCTCCACAAAGTTTAAGCCCTGCAGTGCCTTGCTTGCTTGCTACCAGCCAAATCTTGGGCCATACACAGGCATCACCATAATTTAGAGTTCTGAAGCATAAAATCAATCATTAGAGTAGAAGTAATAACCTTGATTGCAAAGAGACCTGTCCCTCTACTGTTAACAATCTCTTCCTGTCCCAGAAAGCTAACACTTAATGCAGTATCAAGACTCCAGGTCAGTACATTCACCTTGAATGTCCCATAGACACAGTCCAAACTCACTCCTCACGGAGTACCAGCTCTGCTAGGGTTGCCGCTTATGTCAGTCCTTGAGCCTTCAGGGAAAGGAACTGGTCGTGAAGAACTCTCAAGTCTGACTGCTTAAAGATGTACTACAGTTTACAGAAAGATTTGTTTTCTATAGGATGCATGTGTGGGAGATACTTGCACCAGGCCAGGCTCCTTGGAGCCTACCCAGGAACTGTTATTACCTCACAAATCAGTCCTATGCTGAAGCACGAACTGAAGGCTTTCTTCTGCCTAGAACTATAATCAGGAATGATCCATATGCTCATGCAGCCGTGGCTCAGTGCAGGTGAGGGGAGCTCCCTTTGTTCTTCTGCACTCCATGCACTTGGCTTTTTATTTCTTCTGTAAGAAGGGAACACCAAGGCTAATCAGCAGCACTTAGGTAATATTGTAATGGAGCTTAAGATGCTTAGGAAAGCATCCTAATGTACCAGGAAGAGAAAGCAGCCATGCATAATGCATTTAAGGAATCCCAAAAAGATGGTATGACCTGTTCCCCTTAAGAGGCATCAATCACATTAATATCACTTTTCAGGTAGAGTGCTTTAACTCCCTACAGAGATAACAGACCTAAGGATGTAGCCTCCCCATGAGTTTCACTGACAGTTGATGTAGTGTTGATAGTGCACACAGCAGGGACTAGGATACCAGAGCTAAGGAAAGCAGCTTGCTTTCCAGCATGACTTTGTCCAAAGTTGAGAGGCAATGGGTTGGAACTAGATGATCTTAAGGTCCTTTCTAACCCTAACTGTTCTATGATTCTATGATCTTGCTGGGAAGTGATCAAGATAAATACATCAGTTATGAAGTTTACCTGCCAATGTGTGTGGCACAGCCAAGGACCTGCAGGAAATGTGGACAGATGACATAAGTGTAAGGATGGATCAGATCCCAATTCCCTCAACCGCTCAATCTAAAGCCATAACCTGCCCGGGATAATGCTGCCTGCCTTTGCAGGTCACAGTTGTCATGAAACTAAAGTTAGCAATACTACAGCTGATGTATTCCTCTTTCTTACTCAGCTCTGACTTGGGCACTGCTGTTCCAAAACAGAAGTAACTGTGTACCAGGCTGCCTCCACCTGTGGAGGCAAGGAAGAGGAAGGTGGCTGGAGTGCTGTGCAAGCACACCTTGGACACTGCCCTGGGCCTGCTGCCTTTATTGCCAGCAGGGCTCCCAGCAGGCCCCAGAGGTTGTTTTCAGCCCAGACTGGTGTCAGCTGCTGCTGGGAGGGAGCAGTCTACAGAAACAACACAGCACTGGCAATGACAGTGTTAGGAAGATAGCAGCTGCAAGAAGAGAAGCAAAAAACTTTTATACTTAAAACTTACTGTCCCAAAAAGAATGGAGCTTCAGCTCTCACTGTAGTCTTCTCACCCTCCCTTCCACATGTCCTGTGTTTATCCATATCCTCCTGTTGGTTAGACAACATCTGTTTTGGAATAAATCCTTATAAGCCTGCAACTACTAAGTTTAGTTCCCCCTGCAGTATTAAGTGAGGTATTTGCTTCAAGATAGAAACTGAACAATGTTTAAGAACAGAATCAGTAAGTCTGTGCCTTGAAGTGTTTACCTGAAGAACTGAGCTGATCTCAACTGGCAGATAGGACACAACTTGCTACCTGGCTATGTCCACTTTCTAAAGCTGAAAAAAGTCACTACTAATGTCAGCTTGTGCTCAGCTTGTGCTCAGCTCAGCCTGATCCAGGTCCTGTTGCCTGCACAGGACATTTATCATGGATCACAGCCTTTGAAGGCTCTAGAGAAAAGCTGCAAACTGAAATGGCAAATGATGGGAAGACAATGCACTTGGTAAGAGTCTTTTAGGTGAAATATTGCCTAAGCTTAACAGATAGCTGTACATTTAAGGACAGTAGAGAAAAAGCCCTCTAATATGAAGAGATTGACAATGCCAAGGCCTGAAGTGAATGATTATACCGCTTTATCACAAAGCAGCAATTGAGATCTGATCCTGAATAGCTGCTTAGCACTTCCCGGCTTTTACTGATAAAAAACAGGAGCTGAATAGCATTCAAGCACACCCTGACATTCTGTGGAGACCTGATACTGTCCCCTTCATTCATAATCTGCTGGCGAGCTTTGTTCACTAGCTTCAGCTACATTTCTAAGAGAAAGCCTTCATGCAGCCTCATAGACCTCTGCAAGAATAATGCAACAATCATGCTTGGCTGCATAGGCTAACAGCGAGGAACAGTCCTTTCAACAAGGGACTATTTCCTACTGCAAACTGCACTAGGGAAGGATAAGGATTACATACCCCCTTGCAGGTCCCTTTGGGTACTTGCACTATACCTCAGTAGTCACCTCCTGGACATGGGTTTATCCTTGCTATACAGAAGGCTGCTTTTCCCTGAAGAAAAAAGATTGGGTGGTGATTTCAGATTTGCACACCATCCAGAAAGCTGAAAACTAATGCGACAAGGAAATACTGAAGGAAGACTGATGATACTGGTCTTTTCCAAGACAGAAAGCAGTGCTGCTAGGAGAGAAGCACTACCTGTAAAAGGAAACATGCATCAAAACTGCCCCAGCAACACTTCAGTCACACACACTACAGCATCACTGTAGCAGACAGTGCTTCTGGAGTACATAAACCTGCCACCTCAACGTGGCCTTTAAGTTTATGGACCTATCTAAACTGGGCCATTCAAGATCAAAATCCACTTTTAAACACACATACTCCCAAGTGGAGTGCAGAATAGATGCGACAATCCTTTGTACCTGCATAAAGTCCATCAGAAGGTCTTAGTCTGCTTCCCCAAAGAATCACTACCAAACTTTCCTCTCTGCAAAAGGAAAAGAGACCATAACATACAGATGTGATAGCAGGATCCAAATATTACCACCTACTAGGTGTTCTTTCTGCCATACACCAATTACTCCAAAACATATTTGGGAAAACTAAGATATAAATGGGTCAATAAGACAGACAAACTAGAAAAACGTGCAATTTTAGCATTACCCTCTCTATAGAGGGGCACAGAGCAAAAGTAGACAGGTCTAAAGCACATTTAGTTAGTGCGTCACTGTGTCTTATCTCAATAGGACCAAATAACTTGTCCATACTAAAAAAAACCCCCTCCATTCTTACCCTCAACAATGAATACAGTGATAGAGTCACATGAATAGATATACAGAAACATAACAGAAGAGAGACTGGCTCAAAACACTGCACCCCTGGTAACCACACCAACAAATAAAACAGAGAAATCTGTTTGGCAGAGGGATCTGGTTCTCTCTTTTTGGTATTATCTTTTATCTTAAAAAACAGCTGCACTGGGGTAAAATAACCAAGCTCAAGATAGTCACAAAAAAATAAAGGATGTATTTTTCTCCAAAGATCAAAACCATAACTAAGGTAAGACATTCATATCAGAGAAGTTCAGTGTCCAGAAAAACTCTTCTGCCTTGTAAAAATAAGATACTGTAATTACTTTACTGCTCAACAACTTCCTTGCTTAATTCTTCTCTCAAAGTTTTGTCAGTAACTTGCTTTTAACTACAATGTACAAACAATTTTTCTTCACCACCCTCATCTTATCTAAAGCTCTTCTTTTGCTCTGGAGAGTTTTGTGGCATGCTCCTCTACAAATTTGCTCAGATGTTCTAAATCTCGGTCCCCGCCTTCAAATTTAATAGGGTTGTTCTTCTTGTCCCTCGGAGCAAAGTAGATAGTGGGGAATCCCTCCACTTTGTAGTGGTCACTCGTCACGTCGTTGGCAGTAGCATCCATCTTGGCTATGATCAGGTTTTTCTCATTCTTGTATTTTTTACCTAGCTCGGTGTACACTGGTTCTAGTTTCTTGCAGTGTCCACACCACGGGGCATAGAACTCTATGAGAACATCATTCTTTGGATCCATGACTATGGTATCAAAAGTTTTACCCACTACCACTTTCACAGGCCCTTTGTTGTTTTTTGGTACTGGCTGGGATTTCACAATAGGCTTCAGTTTTCCTAGAAGAAAGCAAAACACACACTGTTGTTAGAATACAGTAAAAGTGGTCCTTACAATCTCCCCCCAAAAAGGGCAGAAGCACATCATCCCACCAGGAAAAAGCACTGCACCAGTAAATGAACTGACCTCCGCATGATATATAGGCTAGTTGGCTGCTGACCTTTTAGCACAAAAACCTTGTGAATACAGGCAACAATGTTTCACAATTCCCTCGAACCTTTCTCCCTCTTTTTATGACTGTCCATCCACAACGTATTAGGCAGTGATTTAGCATACTAGTCCCACATATGGATGATCACCTCACACTTCAAAGCTGCAAGAACACTTTAGGCTTGCAAAACATGCTCAGTTTCAGAATACAGCTAGATGCCACAGCATAGTTCAAGCAACAAAGTAAATTAACTACGACCTAAAACAAAAAGGCAAGAATCATCCAAAGGCTTTAAGCCACAGAGCACTGTCCTGTTGCATGTATGACTTTATTGTAGCCGTTGCCTCAGGAGAAACTCTTGGAAGGGGACAAAAAGCAAACAGCTTAGAGAACCTTATTCTAGAAACTGTACCTTTTTTGAATGCCAACACAAATTGCCTGAGTACATCAGAGTCAAACTCTTCTGGCTCCATGGCATATTTCTTGCCACCTTCATCCAGAATGGCCACATTGACATCCTCCCCACTCTCAAGCAGGCCCAAATCTTTTATTTCAGAAGAATAATCTTCCTCATCAGAAACAGCAAACACGTATTCAGGGAAGTCTTTTGCCACTTCCAGGACTTTGCCTCTCCAGTACTGGGTAGCTGAAAAACCAGAACACGGTGGGATTAATAACTTCTGGTCACTTACTGCTTGCTTCCTCCCGAAGCGGAGGAACAGTGATCTCAGCAAACTTACCAACACGATAGTCAAAACTGAAGTCTACAGAGTAATAGACAACCACCAGAGGACGTTTAGCATATCTTTTAGCATCATTGGAAGGCTTGCGATGGCCAACTAGAGGCAAAGCATATTTTACCACGTGCTCTTTAATCTCCGATTCATTTGTGGAGTCCTGCTTAAAAGAAATGGGGAAAAAAACATTCAGAGAAATGGATTTAAGTGGCATTTCTGTTACACAGTACCGAACACTAATATTGATGCATGCATGAACAAGAAACAGGGGCATGTTATAAACTGTGCTGTCACCATATTCCCCAAATCCTTGAGCACTTAAGATAATTCAGCATCCTACCCTTAAATTGAAAACTTTAATGGTAAATTATTATTTGAATACATAACCTCTGGGTTCATTTCATAACACTTTCTCAAACAAAGCAATACAGCTTCTGGGGACAAACAGGTTGCCTCAAATATCTAGTGGAGTGCTTCCAACAAGATGATGTTAACTGCTTATCTATACATAGAAAGAGAACCTTCAATCCACGCACAAATGTTCTAGCTTTGGATCAGGTACTCACTTTAAGGTCCAAAACACGCATCTTGGGCTCGTGCTTTGACTGAAATCTTTCTGGCTGCATGACAACCAGTTTTCCTGGAGATGCTTTCAATAGTTTCGCAATCTCGTTGCTAAAGGTGTGATGGAACTTGTAATCTTCTCTTAACCCATTAGCTGAAAATTAAGGTTAGGAAGAAGAAAAGTCATCAAGAAGCGAAGTGTCAGCCTCTGACTGAAATCTTAAGACTGCACTGCAAGGAAGCTCTCTTCCCATTTTCAATGGGACATGAAACAGCCTAGAGTCTGGAGAACAGCTTTCATCCAGGGGTGAGAAGCATGCAAAAGTACATACAATTCAAGCAGCACTATTTGAATGCTGTTCAACAACCCATCTACTGCATGAGTTATTCTACATATTCAAAAACCTTGAACAGCTTCCAAAACGTACCCAGTGAAACAGCTATTTGCTTATCAGTCTCCTACCTCTTGGCTTCCCCCCAAACAACAGAAAGTAGAGCTGAAAAGGAACTCACAAGGTCACCTAATCAATCTATTTGCTTTGGGGCAGCCTGGGAAATAGTTCTGTATCTTGCTATGCTGGAGCAACCAAATCAGCTCCTAAACCAACTATAAATAACAGCAGCCCCAGAAGCAGGTGTTGTCAGGGGGAAATTGCCCACACGGCTCTGAAGGCTCTGGCAGAAACCAAGAGTGACTGCAAGTTGTTTGATCATGTAACAGACAGGGAGCGATTACTGGGACTGAACACTTCAAGTGTGGTAGCAAATACCATTAACAGGAACATCAACGTGTCACAGTCAAAGGGGTTTGCCAGACCATTGCCAGGAATGGTCTAGCTAAATTGATCCAGAGGTGGATGATGATTCTGTCTCCAGTCCTCCCAGCCCAAACAAGTTTGGCAAAGCCCAGCCTCTGGAACTGTCAGATATGAAACAGGCAATAGCAGACAGCAAAGCTAGCAAGGCCTTATGTTGTGGTGTGTTCCTCAGCCAGGAATTTTCCCTCTTCTCTAGTCCATGTGTTTTAGGGACACAATACCAAGAGGAATTATCTCCTGTGACTGGCTGATATTTCAGTTATAGTCTCAAAATCTGGCATCAGTCAGAATACAAGTGGAAGACAACCCTTCAATCTCCTTCCTCTTATTGCTCTCCAACCTCCCCCCACTGAACTAAGAGCAGAATCTCAACAAAACAGACATTTCATTAATATTCTACACTATGTTTTACCTGCTTCCTGATAGAGCTGATAGGTTTTGTCAGTCTCTCCACTAAAGACACCAATGATGATGACATCATCCCCATCCTTCAAGAATTCCTGTACTTGCTTGGCAGCCTGAATCTGTTTGGATGGAGGCCCAGCCTGCTCAATCATATAGTCGACAATACCTGTGAGACAAACCCACCCCAAAAAGTTGCTTAACATTTATTGAACTGAAAGGTCCAGGCATTCCCTCCGAGACATTGCTTAATACCACATTTCCCGTGGACACCTTTCTTTCTGTACAGCGCTCCCACGAGAACTTAAAGACCAAATCAGCAAAACCACAGACCAAGTCTTTAAAGCTGCAGTTCTGGATATTCTCTTTCAGGCTGGTTTCATATAAGTCTTAAAGTCTTCCCTCTTACTGAAACATAATATTGAGCACTTTGCCAGTCCTTATGGTGCATTCCAGTGCAAATAAAGGCTACCCATTTACTCATACTGCCAGCACTTCACCATGGGTATTTAACTAAATATTACAAGGAGCTTATAGTATCACCATAAAACGTTATGAAGATTAGAGACAGATTTACACTGCTAGTCTATAGGTATAAGAAAACAGCTTTCCAGGTTTCCCCAACAACCATTGCTATGACGTTAACAAGTCTGCAAGTCCTATAGATACATCAAAGCATTTGTGGTCAAAGCCCTCAGACAATAAGCAGCAGCAGAAGCTGCAGTACCGTATTTTTCCCGTGGACCACTGTAGTCATAAGCTTTGCCCTTGCGGAATATTTTCAGGGTTGGGTAGCCAGTAACATCAAACTTCTTTGCGAGCTCAGTTTCAGCAGTGGCATCGACTTTAGCCAGGGGAATCGGAGGCGTGCGCTTGCTGAGCTCCTGGGCAGCCTTCTCGTACTCTGGAGCAAGCCTTTTGCAGTGCCCACACCTAGGGGAAGGAGAGGGGAGGGCAGATTTTAGAAACCACAAGTCCTGTTTATGTACCTTCTACCTCTGAAGTGGAATAGAATGGAGAAAGTAGAAATGGGATTATTCAGTCTACAGAGGACATTTCAGTCTAGGAAGACTTGTCTCTCCAATCTGAAGCTAGCCTCTCTATCTGGTCCCACATTACTATAAGCAGTTTCATTTCTAGAGGCCATTCTTAAAACTAAGGACCAACTGTCTTTGGTTTTCAGCATCTCTTCAATGTGTTCCCAAATTAGTGAACAAGGAGAACCTTCAGGGAAGTTTTGGAGACCACCTCTTTTTGAGACACAGACCAAATCTAGCCTTCAAGTGATTTCTGCTGTGACCCTAGGTCCAGATTAGAGCTGAGGTACACCAGAGTTGCACACACCTGCACAAGGCAAGCCTCTTTAAAAGTGAGGCATAACAACAGGAACCAGGTTCACCAAGCATGCTCAGGCCAGCTGTGCTAGGAAGGTAGAGGTGACTGCCCTCTTGCTTACCATGGAGCATAGAACTCCACCAGGATTATGTCGGCATCATTCACAACCTCGTCAAAATTATCCTGGGTCAATACCAGCGTAGCTTCTGGTGGAGGGGTCCAATTGGGGTCAGAAACCTCCTTGACTTTGGCCACAATTGCTGAAATAGAGTTCAAAAACCCAATTAGCAAGTTTGCATTATCATACCAGCAGCATATTGAATGCAAGACTTGGTATCAAGAACTTCAAAGCAAAGTGGCAAGCATGGTCTTGGACCAAAGCTTACACAAGAACACTTTCTTAATCAAGCTCCTTTATGCTTTACTTCATTATTGCCAAGGAGGTCTTCTCTTCACCCCATAGAGCATCTTACTTACGCAGAACACAGATCAGGACCTTGCAGCACTGTAGCACATGGAATTCTACCTCAAGATAGACAGAAAAGGCTGTTTTTCCCCTCTGACTGAAGCTGGACACATTCCTTAACCAAAACCAAGTGGCTTTATATACAGTCAATATATAGACCAGATGCTTATTAGCTGACTCTTCAACAAGCATGAGACTACCTTCTCTTCTAGTCAAATCATATTTCTAGAAACCTTCCACCAGTAATAGCATTACCCACTACCTGCAAAACTGTCCTCCAGCACGCAGCCAACTGAGAAGACAAGCAAAATTTCAGCCTTTGTAATATTATTCTGCTTAAGATATAAAGTAACCTGAGGTCAAAGGCCTTCAAAATAGTCACATTAAGCAGCAGGACCATATACTGCTTTGCTTTCTTGCAGAGAATAGCAAAGGACTGGTGCTTACCATCTTCTGTCCGAGCGCCATCATAGTCAACAGGCTGGCCTTTCTTCAGGATCTTGATGGTTGGGTAGCCACTAACATCAAAACGACTTGCTAGTGAAGTGGCTGCAGTAGCATCTATTTTGGCAACTGGAATAGGAGGGTCATTTTCCTGCAGAGTTTTGGCTATCTTTTCATATTCAGGAGCAAACTGCTTGCAATGCCCGCACCTGCCAGAGGAAGACACAAGTAGATGGAGAGATGTATTTTGCTGATCTGCATTTCCAGGATGCATTGCCTTGCTATATTGAAAATATAAAGTAACTATAGCTAATGTGCTGTTTTTGTTCAAATCCCAACTGTTTTATCTTAATTTTTATTCCACAGGCACATTGCAAACCTTGTATCATATTTCTCCTTCCTCCCTGCTCCCCTCCCAGTATGGTCTCATTCAGACTTCAGCTTCTCCTAATCTAGGTTCATCTCCTTTACCTACCACCCTAAATGGAACCGAGGAGAAAAATGACTTGGCAGTTAAGTAGACCTAATGAAATCTCACACCCACCACAGTATCACAGCATCTGCTCTCTCTCTCTGGCCACAGCAGAACTCTTAGGGAAGATCAGAGGCTTCTGCTGCAAAAGCTGGCATGACAGAGGATACCAGCATTAAAAAAGCTGAACACAGCTTGACAAGCTGAAGATGAAACCAGGAAAATGAATTAAAAAAAGCATAGCAGATAGTCTGTGTTCCTCAGACTCTCAACTGCCAGGAGGGGGAGAAGAAAAAAAGAAGAGGCGTTTAGTTTGTGATGACCACAAACCCTTTTGCTTGGATAAATTAAGCTTCATGTTCAGTTTTCATGCAGACACGCACGACAACTACAGCTGCAGAAATAGTACCTCCAGCCAAGCAGGGATGGGATTCTCTGTGATGAGTGGCACTAGTTAAAATGGAGCTCCACCTCACACAAGATCATATTCCCCTCTCTATTCAAAGACTAGAAAAGGACAAATGAGTAAGTTGTATTTATATCACTAAGCCACAAAGGAAAAGAGATTCTGGCTACAACAGTAACTCAGCAACTTGACTGCCAACATATTCTACTTTTGTTTCCCCCCCACAAACCATCCCTATTGTTTTTGTCCATAAGAATGAATGAAAGAGAAGATACATTCTGGACTAAATTCTTTGTCTTGGTTATATGCAGGTAAATCCATTGTAGCTCCCAAATGCTCTAGTGTACTGTGTACCCTGGCATGCCAGCAGCACTATCATCATTACACAGATGTATGAGGTACTCTTTAAATTGGTACAACAAACATGTCCTTACTCACACCACACCTTTCTAGCAAGGGCAAAGATTTAAACTTGAGAAGGAAAACCTTTTAGCAATGCCCCTACCAGGGAAGCCTCCTCCATCTAGATGAGCAAGCACACAAGTTCTCAGTGGACCAGGACAAGGATAATAGCAGATTGCAAGACCACACTGCATGACTTTTCTAGGGCTCACTGGGGCCACTTCTGCTCCCTGACAGGCACAGAGCAGGGATGGAACCAGGGCTGTGCTTCCCCTGGCATGGAATGCCTCAGCATGACGCACATCTGTGGGGAAAGAGGGACGCATGGTACAGAGTCAAGGGAAAAAGGGTACCTCCACACTATCAGAACCATCTCCTACCCTGGGCTATGGCAGAGTCCGGTGCTTCTCCTGCAGGTAAGCTACTCCTACATCATCTTCAAAACTGCAGCCCAAGTCACTTTTTAGAACTGTGTCCTGTCAGAGAAGCCTCTGACAGCACCCCATCCTGCACCTAAGGAGGTAGCTCAGGCTGTGAACCCACCATGGTGCATAGAACTCCAGCAGCACAGTGTCTTTGTCTGCAGTAAAGGTGTCAAAGTTTGCATCATTCAAGATTAATACACCATTTTCTTCTTTAACTTCAGAATCATCATCATCTTCGTCATCTTCATCATCATCATCACTGTCATCATCAGCTTCTTTTATAACAGATTCTGGAAAGGTAAAAATGCAACATGGATTAGATTGTATCAAGTTTAACATTAACATAACACTACCAGGTTAAAGGTGGATTAAGTATATCCTGTGGTTAAGACAAAAGGTATCAACACAGGTTACAATGACAGCTACCTCAGTTTGCAAAGAGACTGGACTCAGATGTTTGACCACTTCACCTTTGTCCATGTTACACCAGAAAACAATATCAGTATTTCAGTAAAGTGTCAACGTGTATTTTTGCACTTCAGGGCAATCTAACAAGACAGACACATACAGACCTATGAGACAGTTGCTACCAAGCTACATTGTGCGTCTCCTTGAAATTTGGGAAGCGAGACCCGTTTTGTTGGGCAAGAAGGGCACCAAGATGACACCTGAATTCAAAAAGAAGCCCTCCAACATGCAGCAAAAGGGCTGTCCTTCAAGCACAGGAACTTGTGCTTGGAAAAATTGGGTGTCTTGCACCAAAAAAGCAGATGCTACCTCTCCCCAATGCCTTCCTCATACCCTTACTCACTATACCTGTAACAACACAACTGCTATGCTCTGCCAATCTGAAGCTCTAGCAAACAGACAGACTTGCTATAAACTTAAATGATACCGTTTGCAAAGTGGTTTAGAGGCAGCACTTGAACATTACGCTTCTGATCCTGACCGCTCAATCCCACCCCTGCTACCTCAGTATATCTTTCAGTTACAGTGATGTTTCAGGTCTGCCATCCACTGAAGAAGTGTCCCACTCGCTCTGCTCTGGACCAGCACGAGGCTGCAGAGTGAGTGTACATCAAATAAGAAAGTGACTGTCATGGGAGTCCTATGGAAAACCCACTTTGCAGATGCAAGATAATCTTCTGAAATAAATGGAGTGGAAACTTCTGTCAAAGAACTTCTGGGGAGGCCTTAGATTTAAGGAGACCAAAACTGCTGGTCCAGAACAGGTCTTTCAAAGAGAAAGCAGATTTGTTGAATTACTGAAGCAGTTTGCACGCGAAACCTGAAGCCAAGACATTTAAACTGGTTCAATCTTTGTTGGTCTGGAATTTGAGATGGTTTCTTTAATATTTCAGCTCTCAAATGCTCCTTTAAACTTTTATTTGTTTAAACGCTATCACTTGAGGCAAGCAGACCTTCCTGAATGACTTTAAAGGAATTTCAGTCACAAACCAAGTAGTGAAAATATCTCATCCCAAATGAATACTGTAAAACAATGAAAATAAGGCCCTTTGAACCACTTGGAATCCCAGGATCAGAGAAACAACCCAACAAATAAAACAAAACACCAAAATAGATTAAGGTTTCTTGTTCAAAACTATTCTCCATTTAACTTTAACTGGCCTTGGACTATAAGCTGACAGGAGTTACTGTAGCAGGACAGCAAGTCATGTACGTGTGAGTTACTGATTCAGCATGAGAATTCTAAAAATGCTCTGATTTCAACAGGAATTTAAGTTAAGAATGACAAATACGTAGTATCCACGTATGAAAAACAATCTCAAACCCCACTACTCTCAGACCAATGGGAGACCATAGGAACAAGCTCACAGTGGACAAAATGATGCTGTTAAATTGCAATAGCTGTTTTTCTGTTAGGAGAAGGCATTAAAAAAAATAAGCCTATATGCTCTCAGAAAACAATATGTGCTCCTGGACAAAATCTGTTAAATTTAATTAAAACTCAACTTTATTCACCACCAAAATATTAAAGCTTCTGATGAGGGGTGAGATCACAGGAGATCATGTATCACACAACAGCAATCACCTGGATTAAGTTTCTTAAAGAACTACTACTGTTTCATCTGCTCTATGAAGCAGCAAAAACACCGTCTGCAAGTGGACAATGCCTCCTGTGTTGCTGCCTCTGAGCACTTGCAGTGAAAGGGCTGAACTGTCAGACACCCTGGAAGTGAATCTGCAGCAGTCACACACCTATGGGACTGCCCTGGTGAAAAAGCTGGTTTTCAGCAGTCAAAACTTCTGCTTACATGTGTGCCCAGCAGTTTTGAGGGCTAATTTTCACTGCAGGGTGTTTGCTCATGGTCAGTCTGTGCCTGAATTCCTAGCGAGTTGTGCAATGGCCGCTGCTTTTCCCAGCAAATCACTTCAGACTTGATTTTTCCTGACACAAAGGAATTTGAGCAAAAAGTAGCCAGCCAATTCTGCTCATGCATGTCTGAAACTAACCATCAGGTTGTGACTCTCATTCTTGCTTACTATGTTAACTAGCTGCCCCCAACAGAGGAAAAGGCCACCACAGCCACTGTGGCATAGCCATGGATTTGAAAGCTGAGAACAAAGCATCACCTACGGAAACATCGTTACCACTAGATCCAACAACCATCACCAAAGTAAGTTTGTATCTTTCCCTGAATGCTCTACAGAGCTTGCCAACATAAAACTTCCGTGATGGGGATACATTGTCATGGGCATTAGACACACACACTTCCTCCTCCTAGGAGAAGGAGGCAGGACAGTAGTGCAGAACAGCAGGACTCCAGCTCTTCCCAACTGGCTTAAGGAAGGCATTGCCAAACATAAGGAAGTTAACCACACCTACGGATTGGGCTTTATGAGTGCAAACTCACCCTCTATAGACTCCAGCTTCACTGATACCCAGGGTTATCACAGCTGCCTCCACATCCTCTTTAGTGTTGGGACTGTAAGACCTGCTTCAAGGACCTGACCACGTACGGGAGAAGCAAGCAGGGCTGTTTTCATTAAGAGTAAGGAAGTTTCCTCTGCATCACTGATTTACAGTTTGACGGGAACAGATACAAAATGAGTGTAACTGTGACAGCTGGAATACCAGAAGCAGTTCATAGACACTTCTATAAAGGCAGCTCACTAAAAAAGAATAGCTGCACTTACACTGAAACATCTTTGTTTCTTAAAGCTACTTACAAAACAAGGTGGAGAAAGCAACAAGTATCAGCTAAAACCTGCCCTCCAGCAGAATATGGACTACTCCCTTAGATTCCAGCAAAGCATTCCCATAGATTTCAACGCAACTACACAAGTTGAAAACCTTGAGGGAGATGGCACCAACTTTATGACCTCAGGTAGATGATGCTGGCTGGCAGACCTCCTTCAGGATGGCAGCCACTTGAACTGAAACGAATTCTGACAGGAGCTTCACCAAACTTCCAGAATTTATTGGAAGTCTGCCCTTGTAACTTTTTCTTAAGCAGAGTGAATCCTGTACAAAAAAGCTGCACTTGGACATAACTTCAGGATTCTACCTGAAACTTTCCTTTTGGGGAGGACACACAGTGATTGTTCCCCAATTGGATGGGCTCAGTTTCAGAAACACCAAAGTCAAGACTCACAATCTACTGCCAGAACATTCAAAAGCCTTTTTATGAAAGCAGTCTTCCTCAAGCTTTCCTGTGGTGGATCAATCCTCTACATGATGCCTCTTTTTTTCCTCCACAGGATGCAAAGGGTGTAACAGTCACAATCCAGGCTAACCTTGCTGTAAGCCTCACTGCCCGAGTCAAACTCCACTTCCAAAACCATTCAGTGCCACAAGCCTGGTTCCATCTGAACTTTTAATCTCTGGAACAACTCATTTACATAAGGTTACTTACTTGTTGCAAAGTAAATTTATTCCACTTCCTACAGGTCTGCATTTCAAGGGCAAAAACGGAAAACCCTAATTACTTGCATTTTTAAAGCAAAGGCTTGGTAAAGCCTGGTTTGTGATTTATATGCAGTTTTGAGATAAACAACAGAAACAGAAAAATGATTCAAGCTGTGTAATGGATTTGTGCTCGACTCGCACACAGGAGGAAATCCTTTCATCACTGGGCATCTTTGATCCTGAGAACTCATCTAATGAGAAGAAGAGCATGCATGGGAAATACTGATGAGAGTCTGCTCCAGGAGAAGCAGAGCTACTGCTGTCAGCCACAGGACCCAGGCTTTGCTGTAACATCACTGCTGTCACTTCATCGTTTGAAGGGAGTAGGGGAAATCAGTACCAGGCTTTGTCACATGCTACAAAGCGATGATAATCAAGACTTCCAGCTAAAAGCAGAGAAACAGACATAATACAGAACCTTCCTTTTAAAATCTAAGCTGAAATATATGTATCTCCTTACTACAGATACTGTATCCTATTAAAAGAAAAATCTCCTGATACTTTATCCTACAGATGATACAGTTGGTCACACAGATAATGTACCTAACAAATGCATTTCTCCAAGTTTCAGTGCCTGTTCACTGAGCAAGAATTTGCAGGACAGGAGTTCAGGAAGTCATGCATATTCCGGCTTCCCTGACCACCCTCTAATACTCAACATACAGCACTTTAGTGTAGGTAATACAAAAGACTTAGGATTTCCTCAAAAATCCACAGGAAATATGCTTAAAATGAGAAAAGAAGGAAAAGAAGCACTTTCAAATGCCTGCCTCCTACATACAGGCACTAAACTTAGTAAGTCAGAGCAGCTTTGTTTCAGCTAATTTGGGAAAGGAGAAGACACACAGCAGAGAAATCGAAAAACAATGGGAGGAACACCAAAAACTAGCAACACAGCATTCCTTTCGGGGAAAAAAATAAACAATTGGCTTGAAACACACAGAATGTACTAAATTGAGGTGTAAGGAAGAGAGTGCTCCTGCAGTTAATGGAATTGCATATTTACTGACAATTTAAAAGTCAGTAACTGCCCCCATGGCAATCGTGAGCTTTTACTCCCGTTTAGAACCAGTGAGGCAGAGTAGCCACACAGTGCTGGGTCCCCAACATAAGGACGGCATCGAACTGTTGGAGCACGTCCAGAGGATGATCAGGGGCTGGAGCACTTCCCATATGAAGACTGGCTGACAACGCTGGGGCTGTTCAGCCTGGAGAAAAGAAGCT